AGGAGGGTATTCCATAGGGCAGGGGCCACGGCAGAGAAGACTCTCTTTCTGGGCCCCACCAGTCGATGTTCTTTCATTGAGGGGGTCTGCAGCATACCCCTCTGCTTGACCGGGTGGGACGGGTCAATATAATGGGGGTATATATTATATAATATAATAATTAGAGTGTGAAGTTGAAAACATCTCAGAAAAAGAAGACTTTATGGATTTGTCTTGATAATAAACAATACTAGTGTTGCTGGTCTCCAGTGTTCAGGAAAAGATACAGCTAAATTCAGTTGGAAGAAGACTTCACCTTCTCCTGAATGCTGGAGACCAGCAACACTAGTATCGTTTCCTTCATACTTCAGAGTTCGTAAACTTTCCTACAGAAGCAAAACTAGCTGAGTTAGGCAGACTTTGGATGGCTCCTGGTATGTTGCTGCTGTTGTTATTTTAACCAAAGAGCACTTGCAGATTTGCACTAAAGTGCAAATGATTTATGGCTCAGAGCAATAGGCGCAGAAATTAACAGGTTAGCAATTTTATCAGTTATATGTACTTGGTTGCCAGAATAAGGGGTTTCTTGGAACACTGAGTCTTAAAGAAACATGGCTTCGCTCTTTGGAAAATATATATTCTCAATTTCTCCCTTGCTTGGATTAAATGTATATTTACAGATTTGGTTCCTCCATTCCCTGCACTTGTTCATTCTTCTTCCTCAGGGAAAATTCTGCCCATTGCTTACGGAAAGATATCCCTTGCCTCTTTAAATCCTATTATGCCATGGAAAGCAAATGGGGAAATGAGAATAAAAGAGCTTCTTAATGAGCTGACTTCAGCTTGCATTAAAAAAAAAAAAAAGCAAACACCATTAGAGAGAGAGAAGTTCTGTGGTTGCTCATATAACACACTTTTGCAACCACAGGGCAGCTGTCAACTGGGTATAAGGAGCAGAGGGAAAGACTACCTTGAATGGAGAAATATTTTCTTTTTTAAAGGGAAGGGAGAGAAGCTTTTGACACATGGAGCCTTGAGAAAAGAAAAGAAACATAATAAAATAAAATAAAATAAAATAAAATAAAATAAAATAAAATAAAATAAAATAAAAGGC